CTCGTGGCTCCGCTGCTTGATTCTGGAGAGAAAGAGACTGCCCAGAGCCCGGGTGCACACACGGTCACAGGCTATCAGGGCCAACGGCCTCAGTTCAGTTGATAGAGAAACGGCTGAGGACTTGTTTTTCCAAAAGCCCCAAATCGCTTTGACTCATGTCTTACCAGGTACAAGTGACAGGAGCTTTCCGGTGAGGAAGGCTGCATGATTCAAGCTCAACCCTGCTGTCCTTCGCAGACCAACCCCCGTCCACGGTGCCGCAGTGGCTGCTTAAAGAAGGCCTCGCAGAACCCTGGGGAATAAATTTGTTCTATTCTGCAGCTCAAGTCAAAATGAGTTTAGAAGGTCAGACCTATATATTTCAAAGTCCAGGGCACAGAATAAGCATCTCCCCATCCCTCTGTCCACAGCACCATCACCAAGAGCTGGGGCCCTAGAGTCCATTGCCCAGAAAATGGGGAGAGAAGGGAAAACAGCACAGTTATTAATTCTGTTGCTGATTCCAAAGAAGGAGGTGTTGGCAGCACTCGCGAGGACAAAAAAGAACATAACCAAGTCTGTAGAGGTCACAGCTGGGACTCAGCATCAGAGGCCTGGTGGGGGAATAGGAGGAGGAGGCTCACAGGGGAAGGAGGCTCGGATCTATCCCGTGGAGCAGCAGGGTGAGGAGGCCGCCTGCGCAGCAGGTGCACAACAGGAACAGAACAGCACCTCCGGGCCACACAGCTCCAAGTGGGTGGCTGGGGCGGGAGCCTGTCACTCCAGGGACTCCACCATTGTGACAAGTGACCAGGAGGCCAGCAGCCCAGATGATGGGCAAGCAGAGTCCCCACAGAGGAGGCCTAATACCCAGAGGAGCAAAAGGCTTGTCTCCAGGAAGCGCCACATTGTCTGGCCTGGGGCTGCTGAGGATGGGCAGCTGGACTGGGGTCTGCTCAGGTGGTGTCAGCCCTCTGCCTGAGGTCTCTCTGTCCTTATCATACCCTTCTCCACCAGCCATGCTCCCTGCACCATGTAGACAGCCTCAAGGAGGTGTCTGGCTGCTCCCCCAGGCTCCCAGGAATGTCACCAGCGCCACGGGCACCCAAATTGCACCTGGGATTCAGGAGAGAGAAATCAGAGGTGCCTCCGTGGACCCCCAAAGAAGACAGGCAAACAGCCATAGCCTCCCTCTTCCAAGAGTTCTGCAGTCTAGAGGGTGCACCAACCACTGTCCTTGGGTGCTCTGGAGGGACTTTCTATCCTGGAGTCGGGGGACGACCCCCTTCCAATTCTGCCTCCACTCAGTCAGCAATCTTCCCGAGCCCGCTCTGGGGGCCATCTCCCTGTTCCCACCAGTATGTGGCCATGCAGTGGGTAGCTCTCCTCAGACCTGGCCTTGGAGGGGATGTTGGAAGCCCAACCATGGCCTCAGATGCCAGCCACATCTCCATGCAAGAGTCCCAGCCTGTGGCACACCTGATGCTCCAGGGACTATGTCCTCATGAGCTCAGAACACAAGGTTAGGAGAAGGGACAAGGCTATTCACCACCCAAAACCTGAGCAGGTGCACCCAGGGACTGGGGACCCTGAGTCACAGATGTCATTGATACTCTAGGAAGCGGGGCAGCCTCCACCGGACCACCAACAGCAGTTACTCAGCAAAAAGCAAGGCTGTGGTTGGTGGGTAGATTCCGTGTTCAGTGGGATCTTCTCTACAAACCCAGTTTCTATGGAGAATCTCTTCCTTTGCTGGGTGGTCCCTGCCAAGCCTGGGTGGTGCCAGGCTCCTCCTGGCCAGCTGAGAGCTCTGGTTTTCTTTGCAGCGTCTCCACAACCCACTAATGAGACTCTGTTAGTGGTTATGAATGTAAATGCATTCTTTGTTATCCTGCAAGATCAGGATTATTGACAGGATTTATTGCTTCTGTTAGGAAGATATGATACTGGTTGTTGTTGTGTCTTTAATTTTGTAGGGAGAGCAAAAGTATAGAGCTACATAGTCTAAACAAACACAAAGCCGTGGAAGAAAAAAAGCACAAAACATTGAAGATGGAAGCTATCCAGGTCTCTCCAACCTCATGGGAAATGTGACAGTGCACTCAGGGTCCTTGGTAGTCACCAAAAAAGAAAAACCCAAACAAACCAAAACCGTCTGCACCTGACCTCCACGGGGACTCCCGGGTTTGTTACTGGTGGAGGGTGAGATAAGCCATGGTGCCTAAGGCACAGATGGGCTCAAGGAAACTCACTCCTGTTCCTATAGAGGGAAGAACTAGCAATTGTTCCCATTCACCTCGCAGATGCCAGTTGGGTAAGTGAATACTGCAGTGCCCATACCTGACGGTCCATTAGGCTGTGCCATCGCAGGTGCCCAGTGCCCTGGGAGGCAAAAGGCAATAAGGTTACCCGGTCAGATGGTGATGAGCATGGATGAAGAAAACTAGAAGGTCAAGTGCTCGTGAGCTCAAAAAGAATCAAATCAACATGCTAGTATGACCTCCTTGGGAACTGCAATACTCCAGGACATCTGAGAGCTAAAGGCTGTGACATATCACCATCCCCAACAATCACTAAAACTGTACAATCTCATGATTGACTTAAAATATATAAATAAAATATTACGTGGATATACATAAGTTAATGGAAAATTTGAACAACACTAACATGCAAAGAGCATCTACAAACCAATTACAACAAAGAATAGCTTAATTGAAAAATAGTGGCTAAGGAATTGACCAGTGGTAGAGCACTTGCCTAGGAAGCCTGAGGCCTTGCATTTGTATCCCAAACACTGAAAGAAAGAAGGAGCAAGTGAAGACAAATATAGATCAATAGGGCCAGGCTACAGAAGGGCAATGCACAAGAGATGGAATCTACACTGACTGTCTCATCAGAAGGTGTTCAACCTTACCAGTACCACCAGTAACCAAGAGGCCACAATTAGAAAAAAGTAAGTTTGGGGGCGGGGGCTGTAGCTCAGTGGTGAGCATGTGCCTGGCATATTCAAGGCCCTGGGTTCCCTCCCCATCACCCTGAAAACCCAAAACCAAACAACAATAACAAAAAAAAAATTTTTTGGCACTTAACAGATGGCGGTGATTAGCTACAGTGGGCAGAATAATGCTCCCCAGCCAAAGCCCCTGGTACCTGTGGATACAGGGCCTGTCGGGGGATGTGATCAAGTCCTCTGAGACAGGAAGTTACCCTGGACTGTTTGGGTGGGGTCCTCACAAGAGGGAGGGAGGGAGGCGTGAGCCAGAGGGGTGTGACAAGAGGAGCACCCTGCTGGCTTTCAGGTAGAAGAGAGGGCAGGAGCCCGGATGCAGGGCCTCTAGGACCTGGACAAGGCAGAAACACTCTTCCCTGGAGCCTCAGGAAGGAACCCAGGACAAGGACACCAGAACTGTAAGGACCAACGCCTGGAAAGGAAGGGAGCAGGCGTGTGCCACTGCAGGCGGGGACATCAGGGCCGGGTTACATGCCCCATTGTCCCTGGGCACAACCGTGGACCCAACCCATCCATCCATCCTGAGATAACCAGGGGCAAGTCCAGACCTGTGACCTGCTGAGAGGAGCCACGCTGCCTTCAGCACGAGTGTCCTGCCGCTTTCCCTGTGGCACCCCGCGGGGCCCACACATTCCAGCTGGTGTCACGGGATCCCCCCTCCATCTCACAGGGGAGCTGAGGCTCCAGAGGGCGGGGTGGTTTCTTGGGGCCACACAGCTGTGGGGGCAGCACTGGAACCGAACCAGACTAGGAAGCACCGACACCCAACTGGTTCCCTCGCTGCCTGGCCCTCTCACCTCCGCGTCATTCTGGGTGTCCCTCGGTGACTTTGGAACAGAACCCCTCTGACCTACCCCTGCACAGATCCAGGGGTCCCGTGGATCTCTCTCTGCTCACTTGAACTTCACCCTGGGGACCAGGACCCCTTGGGACAGCCAGGGCAGGATGCCTCCCACAGGCACTCTCAGCCGACGGCTGGGAGCAGGCAGCCGCTGCCTCATTAATCACTCTACCCAGAAAGTGGCAGCAAGAAGAACCTTGCTGGCCAGTGGCCCAGGTGACGGCCGTTGCCTGCTAGGATGGCAGCTTCACGGGCGTCGATTCTCCCCCTTGCCTTCTCTTCTCCTCCTTCTTTCCTCGGTACTGGGGGTTGGACCCAGAGCCTTGTCATGCTGTCAGGAGCTCCACCACTGAGCAGCATCCCAGCTCTTTTCTAGATTCTATTTTGTGATGGGGTCTCAGATACATCGCCCAGGCTGGCCTTGAAGCTGTGATCCTCCTGCCTCAGGCTTCCCAGTGGCTGGGATTTGGGGTGTGTCCACAGGTTTGGGGTTGATCTTCTTCATGACAACCACATGGTCATGTCAGATGTGATATCTAAACTTGCACGACTGAGTGGAGGCACCACAGCACTTGTGCAAGAGACACGTGGGTGTGTGGAGAATGCACGGTCCAGGGAAGAGATGCAGAGTTTCTCAAAATCTGGCCATGAGCAGACTGTGTGTCCTCAGCAGCTCAGGCCCTCTCTGTGCTCCTCTGTGGCCTCAGGAAGCTGAGCTAGAATGATGTCCTTCCTAGGGGTCAGACTCAGAGTGCTTTCAGACTGCAGATGACAGGAGGGATCTGGAAAGATCATCCAGTCCTGCTCCCCCACTAAACCCCTGAGGACCAGTGGCCTGTCCACCCTGGGCGGGCCTGTCCTCACATCTACAGAGCCCTCTGCACCTCCTGCCTCTGGCGGCCCATCGCCGCTCACCATGCAGTGGAGGACCTGGGAGCTCTGCAGCCCCTTGCAGCACTCCATGTCACCGCTTTGAGAAGCAAGAACCTTCTAGACACCAGTGATGACCCACTGTAGCCACAAACACCTCACTGAGGAACTGGCCCGGGCCTTTGCCTACGTGAAGGCCCAGTTGTTTTCCCCGACCTTGAGCCCTGGTGCTCAAGCACTGAACGCAGGGCGCGTCCTCTGAGGCCTCAGGTGGTGGCAGGTAGGGGAAGCCTGGCCTACCTGTCACCTTCTTCTCCAAGAAGGACCAGATGAGCTCGCCAATTTTTGACTTGTCTGCCACCGCCTCTTTCAGCAGCTGCCCGCAGCACACTGATGGGGAGAGGAGCAGAAAGACACCCATCAGACCTTGAATAGAGGGAAGATGGAGAAAGGGGACCTCGGGGCAGGGCTGGTGTGAGGCCCTGGGTCCCATCCTCACGACACATACAAGGATGATTACATAAAATTAGTTTTTAAACACACATTTTAAAAACTGTAGGCAACGTGGGATGACACTGACAAGGAGGTCCCTGAGAGGCCGGGCGGCACTGGAATGACTGAACAGAGTGCGCAGCTCTCTGGGTCGCTGTGGAGGATGAACGTTGGTATGGGGAAAGGCTCCTCCCTGACACCACCGCACAGGGAGGGCGGGGAGGGCGTCTCCACAGACCTTCTGCTCTGAAAGGTGTTCCAGGAATGGTGGGTACACAACAGGTGGCCAACTGATATGCCAGTGGGCTCAGCTACTTTAAAAGGCCACACTGGAGTGAGCGCCCTGCTGCACGGTCCGCCCTGGACGCATCCCACGGCAGCAGGGGTCTTTTCCATCATGCCCCACCGTGTCCCCAAGCCTGGGCCATGGCTGGCATGAGGGAGAGGCTGGGCCACCGGTGCCAGGTGAACACACACCGCCTCCCACGTCCTGGACTAGGAAAGCCCTCAACAGCCAGAGCACAAGACTCAGGCTGTGTCTTCACAGAGTCGCTGACTGCACAACCTTGGCTTGGAGGAGTTTTCTGCTTCTACTAAAGAAACCAGAAACCATCCTAAAATTAGCAGGATGACATGAGGTTTGTGACAAGGACCATTATAAAGATTTAGTCCTTAACAATGACGTGCTTAACTCCCTATGCAAAGGACAGCAGGAATTTTGTCCTGAGTGGTGGGCAGTTTCACCAGCAGAGACAACAAGGGCTGATGGGAGTGTTTCCGGCGGCCAAGTTTGCTTTGTCTTATTCCTTCTCTCAACAGCCTGAGGCTGTGATAAGCGAAGGAAGCTGTTTCCGGGAGAGAGCCAGGAAGTGCAAAAGGGGGATGCGTCCTGGACGAGATGGAGAGGCCTCGGGCTCTGGCCACGAAGGAGCAGCAGGGGCGGTTTTTACTCTTCTCCTAGAAAGCTCGAAACTGAGAAAAATACATGAAGCCACTCTTTCCAGCCTTGGACGGCACGGGCCGTGACCTTGAGAGGGGAGACACCCAACATGAGCCCCACAGTCACCCTGGATTCCATCCGTGGGCACGTCTCAAACCAGCACAGAAGCGGGCACAGACCGAGCAGCAGTGTCGCTGGGTGGAGGAGACAGCCTGGAGGTCGGGATCCAGAGCTGGAATCTGAGCAACAAGCTAATGGAGAGGGGGAGCTGGCACGGAGGTCCCAGAATCTGCATGGAGCTCGTCGAATCTTTGGTCAATACAGAGCTGCACAGGTGCAGAGGGAGCCTCCTCAGGGCCTGGGAAAGGAAAGCCATGGGGAAGCTGAAAAGGGAATGCAATTCACAGTGCTGGGGATGCCGGCGCTGCAGCCAGAGGGAGTCCTGCTGAAGACCCCAGAAACTCAGCGGAGACCCCAGAAAGGTCACACTGAGGTGCAAAGGTGCCCTGGCCCTATGGTAAGAACTCTGGGATACCTCGTTTAAACAGCCTGAAAATGAGGGGCTGAGGCTGTAGCTCAGCGGCAGAGCAGTTGCCTGCACGTGGGAGGCACCGGTCGGGTTCCCAGCACTGCATATGATGAAACAAGTAAAGGCAAGCTGTCCGTCTGCAACTACAAAGTGATTTTTTTAAAAAGTCTCAAAATCAAGTTGATTCTCCAGTAAATTAGCTGCCTGTTAGAACTCAATTCTTATTTATTTATTTATTTTTAGTTGTTGATGGATCTTGGTTTTATTTATTTATATGTGGAGCTGAGAATCCAGCCCAGTGCCTCATACATATTAGGCAAGTGCTCTGCCACTGAGCCCCAGCCCCAGCCCCCAGAACTCAATTCTTTTAAACTCAAATTTTTCAAGCAGAAGCACACGATCCAGACCGTCAGCCACAAGCACCACAATGTCCAGCATATAAACAAAAACTGCTTGACATACAGAAAATCAGAAAAAGGCAAGCCTCTTCAAGGACAGCATAAAGGCCATAGAACCCGAGCGAGGGATGGTGGAGATCAGACCTGGTGCACCCAGCCAAGCCCAGCTTGGGAAGGTGAGGCACGAAGATCGCAAGTCCAAAGGCAGCCTCGGCAATTTGGTGAGGCCCTTAGAAATTTATTGAGTCGTCTCAAAATCAAAAAAAAAGAATTTAAGAGCTGGGGATTTGGTTCAGTACTTAAGCACGCTTGAGTTCAATCCCTTGTACCAAAAAAAAAAAAAAAGAAAAAAGAATTGGTACACCAAGTCCTTAAAACAGTAATTATAAATGTAGCTAAAACTTTAAAGGAAAAGGTAGTTAAAATGAGTGAGCAGATGGGGAATCTCAGCAAACAAATAAAAACCACAAAAATAGAACCCGATGGAAATTCTGGAACTGGAAAATACAAAATCTTACATGAAAGGACTCGCCGGACGAGCTGCAGCGGATCTAGAGGCAGTAAAACATGCAATGGAGGAGTTAGAAACTGAGCGGAGATGGGGAGGAAGGTCTGGGGCAGAGGAACAGTCTGACTTCCTGGCCACCCGAGTCCCAGAAGAGAGGGGTGGGGCATGTGAGGGATGACAGAGGAGAACCTGATGACCCACAGTGGCCACACATCCAAGAGTCTTTGAGACTAAGCAGGATCAGCACAAAGGAAGCCATGCTTTGATGCACCGGAGTCAAATTGCTGAAAGCTAAAAAGAAAGAGAAAACCCTAAAAGCAGCCAGAGCGGGAGGAAAGATGCTTCATATACAGAGAAACAAAGATGAGAGAAGCTGCCGTGGAGTCCTCATCAGAGGCAGTGCAAGCCCGAAGACAATGGATGACATTTCCAAAGTGCTAAGGGGGAGAAACCTGTCAACACAGATCTTTGCAAAGTGCAGGTACAACAACGACATTTGCAGACACACGGAAGCTGAGAGGATTTGTCACCAGCAGACTTTGACTAAAAGAAATATTAAAGGAAGTTCTTTAGGCTGAGAGAAAATGATACCCAATGGAAGCCTGGATCTCCACCAAGGAAGGAAGAGTGTTAATAGGCAGGACACAGTCTTCCCTCTTATTTCTTCACTTCAACACAAATGGCTTTTAAAAGAAAAATAGTTAAGATACATTGTGGAGTTTACACAGCAGCACGAAGGACCGCTCCCTCTTGGTGGAACGCAGTGCCACGGGGATGTGCCATGGTGAAGAGGTGCAAGGGTCACCCCAGGACCGTGACAAGCCAAGGGCACACGTTCAATCTCTAGAGCAACCACCAAGGAAAGCAGAGAGACACTCCTAAGAGAGCAACCGCACAGATGAAATGGATCACTACAGCTAGCTGGTTAATCCAAAGAGAGCAGGAGAGGAGAGGGGGAGCAGACAACCCAGGGGGAGTGCAGCCCCCTGTGAGACGGCTGAGAAATGCACTGAACTCTCCAGCTACAAGACAGGGAATGCCCGCTCGGATTTTTAAAAATAGCAAATCCCCAGTATGTGTTGTCTATGAGGCCCAAATTTAAAACGTTACGATACAGATAGCTTTAAAGAAAAGGAATAGAAGATAAACCACACGGACACTGATCACAAGGTGAGATGGCCACGTGTCAGACCAAGTGGACTCTAAAAATATGAAGATTAATAGAGAGGTAGAGGATATGGCCCAGCAATAGAAGGGTCATTTCATCAAGAAGACATAACAAGACTTAATGCATATGCACTGAAAAAACTACATGGAGCAGACACTGGAAGAAAATAGACAAATCCACAATTAGAATTGGAGATTTTAACCCCTCTCTTCCAGTCAGTGAAATCATAAGTCTGGAGAAGTCATTCAGGACCAGGAAGGTTTGAACAGCGCTGTCAAAAACCTCATCCCTACTGACATTTACTGAGCATTACAGCCAACAGCTTCAGGATCCGTGCTCTTTTCTAGTGCACATGGGATTCACCAGTGCAGACCATATGCTGGGCCATAAAAAGTATCAAAAACTTTAAAGCAACAAAGTTAGTCAGCAATAGAATTAGAAATAAGTAAGAAAAAATAATCTGGAAAAAAAATCTCCAAATATTTGGAAACTAAGTGGTGCACTTCTAAATAAAATACAGGTGCCAAAAAGAAACCACAAGGGAAATCAGAAAGCTTTTTGTCTGTGTTTTTTGTGTGTGTGTGTGTGTGCGCGCGCGCGTACGCGCGCCAGGGATTGATCCTGGAGGCATTCTCCCTTTGAGCCCCATCCCCAGTCCCTTTTATTTATTTTTTTAAATTTTTGAGACAGGTCTCCCTAAAGTGCTTCGGGCCTTGCACGTTGCCCAGGCTAGCCTTGGACCTGCCTCAGCCTCCCGAGTCATTGGGATTACAGGTGTTTGCCCAGCTTAAAAATATACTTTTTTTTTCAAGTTCTTTGCAGTTGTAGATGGGCAGAATGCCTTTTAAAATATATTTTTTTATTTTTATGTGGTGCTGAGGATGGAACCCTGTGCCTCACACATGCCAGGCAAGTGCTCTGCCACTGAGCCACAGCCCCAGCCTAGAAAATATTTTTAACTGAACGATAATGAAAACAAAGCGCCCCCAAGTGGGACGAAGCGGAGTGGTGTTCAGCGGGACTCTGTGACCGCAGCTGCCCAGTGAGGGAAGAGTGACAGAGGCCCTGCCCCTGGCCATCTCACTCAAGCTCACCCTGTCAAGACAGTCCTGGAGCAGTGTCCCCTCTCCTAGGGACTCTGTCATGGTGTGGGTGTGATGTGTCCCTAAAAGCTCCCGCGTGAGACGATGCGAGAAGGTTCAGAGGGGAGATGAGGGCTGTGAGGGCTTAGCCAATCAGTGAATCGACCCCGCGGGCATGACCTGGTGGTAACTGAATGGGGCGGGGTGTGGCTGGGGGCCTCAGGGCGCCGTTGGTATGCATTCTGAGTCTGAGGATGGAGGCTCCCTCTGCTCCCCTTGCCACACTCTTCAGCCCTGATGTTCGGCCTCACTCTGAGCCCAAGGAACCGAGCCACCTTCTATGGACGGAGACCTCTGAAACCATGAGCTCCCAAAGAAACTTGCCTCCTCTAAAGTTGTTCTTGTCGACCTTTTAGTCATAGCAGCAAAAAAACAGAACAAAACAAAAAACCGACTAAAACAGACTTGAAGCCAAGAAAGAAAAAAAGGGTCGTATCCGGGGTCAAGATGTTCGACGAAGGCGAAAGCCCTTCCTGCGGTGGGCTTTGATGAGGGCTTTGGAGGGCCACAGTGGGGGATGCGAAGGAGTAGGCGCTGGCAGGCCCTGCTGGGCCTGCAGTGGGGGCCTTGTCCAGCCTCGCTGGGCCTGCCCGCCTGGTCTCCCCGCACACTCCAGCTCTTCTTCCTCCACACCGGTCCTCTCCACGTATCCAATAAGGTGCGCAGCATTCAGTAGATGCCCCATGGGTGCTATTAATAATAGTCCAGTGAATCCCTCATGGTTGATTTTGATTAGAGAATTCTGCTTGTTATAAAAACAAGCAGATCCACATTGCGATACACCACTCCACAGAGACAACCCGTCCCCGGGTGGAGGCTTCTTCAGATTTTGCATGTGCCTAGGCCAACGTGCTTTGTGTTTTTTGACAGGGCTGAGTGAACTGCCTTCCGCCCCCTCTTCCAGCAAGATGTTTTATCACTTGGCGGTTGCTTTTCGCAGGGTGTGAGGGTGCCTCTTGTTGTCCCCGTGTGGGGAGCACTTCAGTGGAATCCAACCCTAGGCGTGAGTCACCAAGTTGGCAGATCTGCACAGTGAGCATCTCAGTCAGGAGTGACTTTTTCCTTTCAAAAAGTTGTTCGCACTTGTATTCCCACCTATTATAAAAGGGGGTCTTTCGACAAGTGTGGCGGGCTCAATGCTGGGCGGCTTGCGTGTTTGGAGGTGTGCTCCTCTGACTTAGGGCTTCCTCAACGTGGAGATCAGGACCACACCAAGTGGCCCCAGAGGAGCAGACAATGCCCAGAGCCCTGGTTCCCCAGGCTTCTGTGGAGAGCCCTGAACAGCTTGGTGCTGTCTCTTTGTACCTGAGGTCCCTTCAACTGGCTCCTTGGGTCTTCTGATGTCCCCCATTTATCAAGAACACCTTTGGGGAAAGCGAACTTTCTGAATTAGTTTTCAAATGCTCCATGACCTAGAGTCCCATGAGGGACCCTCACTACAAAGCTTCACGAGCATTTCTATTTTCATTTTTGGAAAAATCTAGGCAGGTAATATCATCTCTTCACAACTGCTGCGCTGAAAGCAAATTTAGATTTTAAAAAATTCCTGAACGAGAGTAACTGCATAGGGGAAGCGCAGCATGAGCCGATTACTCAGAGAAAGCCGGGTGCTGATAAGGTGCTCCTGTTGTTCTCAGGTCCGCCCCCGCTCTGCCACGAAGGGTCTTGTGTCCTTCCACACAGCAAAGAGTGCAGACACTTGGAGGAGCACGTGGGTGCGGCCACAGGTAGCCTGCCGCTCATCCTCAACCACCGCCACGCTCCCGTTCCTACCTGTCCCCAGCCATCCCCACCCACTGCCACAGACTTCATCTTGGAATACTCTTGATATATCAAATTGAAAGAAGGAGTGATTTGAATAATTCCATTTTTCCAAGAAAAGGTAAATGCAGCTGGGTGCCGTGGCATTTGCCTACAATCCCAGCAACTCAGGAGGCTGAGGCAGGAGGATCACAAATTCAAAACCAGCCTCAGCAACTTAGGGAGGCCCTAAGCAACTTAAAGACACCATGTCTCAAAACAAAAAAATAAAAAGGGCTGAGATGTTGCTCAGCGGTTAAGCCTCCTGAGTTCAATCCCTGGTTAAAAAAAAAAAAAGAAAAAAGTGGATGCAGAGAATGTACACATTATCCTAAAGTGTTTTCCACACTAACCAAATCTGCAGAGTAACTGTTCAGTTCTCCCTCTTGATTTTACAGGTGTGACTTTTGTCCTTGATTCCTGGCTAGTCCCTGAGGGTCTGGAATTTCAAGTTGGAGCAAACCTAATTGAAAAGCATTTTTATTCCAACTGTGATTCTTTTGGGTGCTATATGAATGAATATATTTGTGCATGTGTATGTATTCTCTCTATAGATTTGTATGGTGTGGATGTATAATTTGGGGGTGTGCATATACATATTTATAAATCTGGGGTGCAGGTCCCGTGTTCTCCTGGTACATAAAGCAGAGGTAATGCAGGCTGGCTGTGCAGCATGGGGGTGGCGCCTCGTCTCCCTCCCTCCGCCCCTCACTGCACTTCCTACACTCGCCTCCTCCTTCCCAGCCCTTGATCCTCCTGAACACAGGCCGCCATTCCAAGACCGCCTGGGACCACCTCGGCAAAGACCTGGAGAGCTGATTTCAATATTTTCTCTCCTCCTGGTAAAATATTTATTGAAACTGTGCAGAGCGAGAAGTCTTCCTCTGGTTCAGAAATTGTTTGCCTGTAAACACGCTGACCTGGGTTGGGGGAGCGGAGGAGACGGAGCAAATAAATCAGCAGCAGATGCCTATTAGGAGCCGAGGCTCCCGGTGAGCCAGCCGCAGGGCTGCAGGAGAGCTCCTGGGCGGCAGAGACGCCAGCCAGCAGCCCAGGGAGACAGAATGATGACTGGAAACGTTCCGGCTCTTTGGGCTGCGGACACGTTTTTGCTGGTTGATGTCTTTATGGCAATATTCTTCAGGAGGAAAAATCTTATACCTATAAAGATGGACTAACTGGAAATTGTTCAGAGCAGAGAGCAAGAAAGAAAATTGATATGGATTCTTCTTGCCCTCCACCAGCCCGTAAAATGAGGAAGCTTGGGGGGCAGAAGGCAAAGAAGGCTCTAGAAGCAGTGCTGCTTCTGGGCACTCACCGTTGACAAGGCCATATTTTTGGGCCAGGAGGCCAGCCTGCAGCCTCTTCCCGCTGCCCATGGGCCCCAACAGCAGCACCCTCGGGGTGAATGGGGCATTGGAGCGATGGCCACTTTGGACGAAGGTCAGAGCTGGAAAGAGAAATGAGGATAATAAGCCCAGACGCTAAGGGAAGGGAAGCCAGCTCATGACCCCTCTGCATGGCTCCTTCCGTGGCCATCAGTATTTCTCTTTTATGGCACCATAGAAACCCTCGGTGCCCCCGACCTGCAGGAACGAGCGCCCCCTCCCCACCCCACCCCCGCCCAGGACTGCCCTGGAATTGCACTAGAGCCGCAACAGGCGGCCACTGGCCTGCAGGTTGAACTGGGGCTGGGTGTGCTGCAGAGGGAGGTTGGCTCTGGCACCTGACAGGTTTCCAAACTGCATCCTGGCTGAGCCTCTGACCTCCAGCCCTGGGCCAGGCGGGTCCCCCAGGGGAGGTGTCGGCTGGGTGTCAGTCTCAGGCTTTGATGAACACATCAGGCCATGCGGGAGGCTCCCGTGCAGGGACTTCTAAAGGACTTGGGAATTGGTGGAGAATAATCTGCGCAGCGGCACTCCAGTGACACCAACTTTGTTGCAAGTTTCCAAAGAGGCGGTGGTGAAACAGGTCACAGGAGTGGCAGAGACGCACCCCTGGCATTTGATGAACAAAGACGTGGAGAGGCAGGGCCGAGCACTGCTGACAGCAAGACCTGCACCACAGGGGCCCTGGATGCCGAGAAGTCACAGGGAAACGTACTGAACATCAAACAGGCCACCTCCCACTCAAGGACACACGAGGGGAGCTCAGAGAACAGGCTGATGGGGCTGTGAAGAGCAGGCTTCCGGGCAGCCCCGGGGAGCTGCCCACCAAAGGGGCCAGCCTTTATAACAGGGCCTCCTCACTCGCCTCACTTCTTGCAGAAGCATCAGCCTGTCCCTGCAATGCCAGCCTCGGGACCCTGACTATCACCTGTGCCATTGTCCCGCCAGGGGATTCCGTCCTGGGCAGAGGCCTGAGCCAGCATGCCACTCTCAGAAATGTGCCCCCAGAAACCATTTAAGGTCCCTGTCGGGGTTTCTCAGCCTCAGCACATGGACACTGAGGCCACATGGTTCCTTGTTGTGGGGTGTCCTATGCACTGTGTGGTGCTGAGAGGCAATCCTGGCTTCCACCCACAATGTACCAGAAGCACGACTCCATGCTGTGCAACCAGAAATTGCTTTCAGACAGTCAGTTGTTCTCCCTTGGATCCTGGGGGCCGTAGGGACAGAACTGCTCCTAGTGAGGATCCTTGGGCTCATTTGGGGATTATTTGGTTGGATGGATCATCAGAGACATCACCAATCCCCTCCTTAGAACTAATGGCACAGGAAAGTCAAAGCTGGCTGTCTTCATCGTCACTATCACGGCCAGCATATATTAACTGCTAAGCTAAGCACTCTGTAGTCACTCCCTCATTTGAGTGGCCCACAATCCCATGAGGAAGGTATCATTCTTGTCCCATTTTACAGATGAGTCAGTCAGGCTCCGAGACAACTCTCCAAACCCACCACCACAGGCACCATTTCCCCACTGAGAGCCCGAAACTCAGCAAGGGGCTCCAGTAAGGCTCTCCTCAGACCGCCCATGATCCAGAGCCTCTGAAAAGCACCAAATGCTACAGGCGAGGCTGCCTGCTTACAAATGACGCTGAATTTACAGTAAATAACTAAGTTAATTAGAAGTAATGATCCCCCAGACGGTCTCGCCATCTGATTATTCTTTTTAAGAAATATGTGGTTGCTGGGTACACTGCAGAGAGATTAAAAAAACAACACATAGAGAATTCTGCATTCCAATTTCCAATTTATCTCTCCGCATTATTAATTAATAATAATTAATATTCAGACACTCACATTTTTATTTACAATTCCAGGCATGAATTCTTTATGAACAATCATATGAACTTTTAAATTTAATTAAGTAATTTGGAAGTAATTAATGTGTAAATTCAAAATCATGGCATAAGATAAACATGGCGATGTTTATCTTAAGAGCGCAGAGTATTTGCTACTAAAGACCCTTCTGAGATGCAAAGCGCTGGAAAACTATAAGCCTGGCATTTCTGAAAGCACCGTCATTTTCCAGACACACGCCTGTGGGCTGGTGGTGCCTCTAGATGGCATGGCTGCCCCAGAGACTGCAGCGGGACAGGGCAGCGGGGGGACAGCGGGAAGCACCCAGGGGCTCAAAACAGGTCTCATCGCGATAAACCTTTCTTTAAGGAGACCCGAGGGAGCAGGTGAGAAAGGACGTCACCAGCCGTCTAGTGTCCTCGGTGTCTCTGTCGAGCCTGTATCATGTCGAAACAGACTGAATGCCTCGGTTTCCAGGAGTCGGTGGACGGGGAGAACTGGGTTTTGACACAGCAAGACTTTTAAAAAATCATAACACAGTTCTGGGGACAGAGTGGTTCTAGCTTCCGTCTGCCTTCATAGGCAGGATGCTGAACCGCGGTGACAACACTTGGGAAGGGCACAGAGCGCTTCCTCACCAGCCACTGGGACACACCACTGGGAACCCTGCTCCTGGGCGGGGGGCATCTTATGCATGGCCAGCTCCAGGCTCAGGGTGTTAAGACCGGCGCCAAAGATGGCAAAGCCATGTGTACTGGGTAAGGGGTCGACCACACCAGGGCTCCAGCAGCACAGAGGGCAGGCCCTCCTCCCTTGGTGCCCATGGTGGCGCACGTGGTGGCCCACCGCTTGGGATGGCGTCTGGACCTCCGCTGTGCTGTGGACGGCAACACAGCGCCAGGAGCAGGACGGCTCTTCTCTGCTCTGAACCTGAGTCTTGGTTGTGATAGTGTTTTGTTTTTTTTCTTTTTTCCCCCTTTTTGCAGTGCTGGGGGCTGAGCCCAGGGCCTCACACAGGCCTGGCAAGCGCTCCACCACGGAGCACGCCCAGCCCTCGGTCCCAACCTTCATACGGCGCCTCTTCCTTCTCCTTCAGGGTCAGGTCCAGACTCTGCCACCCCATCCCTCACCTCTCCTCCTCCCACCTCTATCTCAGTCAAACTTCCCACGGGCTGGAGACACGACCACGTCCAGGTGTAGGACACGGGCACTGGCCCCAGTCTCCCAGTGGGGCACTTCAGGGACCCTGCACACACACGCTCTGGGCAGGGGAGCTGGACATCTATGACTTGACTCCTGGGGTCCTAGCACCCCTAGGCCATGGGCTGCTGCCAGATGGGTGATGCTGATGGAGCGTGCAGACATGCACGGTGGGCCTGGGTCTGGGGCGGACATGCACGGTGGGACAAGGCCTGGGGCGGTGCCCAGGGTGCGACTTCCCGTTTGTGTTTACCCTGGTAGAAGACGTCTACACATGGCTGGTCAGCATTGATGGTCTTCAGGATTTTGGGGTAAGAAGGAAGGATCCTGATGATGTTCCTATGATATACCAGCAGTTTCTGGGCTGTCTCCAGCTCTGAGATGCCCTCTGGCTCTATCAGACGGTTCTGGACTTCAAGTTCCGGGGGCCAGTCGAAGGTGGTGTGATAGATCTCTGCACAGAAAGAGGAGCAGTCGTCACCACCCCGTAGGGCTGCTAGGGGGGCTGCTGTGCCTGGATAGGGCTCTGCCCTGAAGGCCCAGCTTGTGGTTGACTGACATCCCAGGGCCTGAGAGCGCCGGGCCTGCTCTCCTTAACACAAGGATAAGAGTCACCCAGGGTAGGGCTGCCATGAGTTTCTGAGCGCTGGGCCCGGGCCCGGCTGATGGGCCTGCAGACCCTCACAGCAATCACATCATTAAGTACCAGTGAGAAAACGAAATCTCACAGAGGTATCCCAGGTGGTACTGCTGGAGAGGGGCAGAGCCCCGGGGCCACAAAGCCCAGGTCTATCACTCCCTGTCCCTGCCTGCCCAGGGTCCTCCTGTCTTCACGACCCGTCGGCAGGTCCTGGCCTGTGGCACCTGCCAGTTCCCAGATAGAACACATGCCTATTCACCTGTGACCACAGCAAAGAGCACAGGGTGTACTGCTTCCCAGGGAGATGGAGACAGGCCCCACCCCTGGTCCCCATGTGTGGCCCTGAGCCAGGAGGGGAGCTCAGCAGAGTGGGCTCAAAGCCTGGGCGTCCCACATCCACACTTGAGTCTGGTTCTACAGCAAACAAGCCCCTCTTCCACCTAAAGGTCTCATTTGCTGAAGTCCCCAGTTTCCCAGTGTCGTCCAGCTCACAGCCATACTCTGCTGGCCCGAGTCACCTCCCAAACACTGTTCTCAGATGCCCAGCGCAGGGTGAATGCGCAGAGAGTGAGGAGTCTCCAAGTGTTCTGGAAACCCACAGGGTGTGGGGCATGGAGACAGCCATACCTCGAGTCTGAGGGTCAATCCTCTTCCCCAGGTTCCTTTCGATCAGCACAGTGTCCGGAGCACTCAGCACGACTGGGCAGGGGAGACAAGGAGCAATCGCAGACGTGCCGGGCAGCTGACCCTCACGGACCAGTCCTTGCTCTATGCTTCGTTGGCTGCTCCCACCACCACCTCCCATCCCAGGAGCTACTAAAGACAAGGTCTTCCTGGCACTAAGTCACAAAGGGTATCCTCTCGGGACCCCAGACAGCCCACTATCGACCCGCCCCCGCTAACAACCTTCACTAACATAAATAACAGCATGATCGACATCTTTGTCTAGATGCTTCTCCACATTCCTAATGACTCACTCCCTAAAGAGCTTCTCATATAGGGGGTTTCAGGCCCAAGGAACCCGCAGGGTGAGAGTAAACCACCACCTGGCTTAAGGACAAGTGGCACTGTGCCTGGGACTAAGGCTGCATTTAATTCAACACATCTTTTTCTTGTGGGTCCCCAGACCTTCCTGGGTGGTGGCTGGGACAAGGATGGGGCTTGGGGAGCCAGCACCACAGAGCAGGGGTTCATCCCACCCAGCCCTCCTGGCAGGGCCTCGGGGTTACTCACTGACGTGCCTGGGGGCGATCCCCAGGGTCTGGATCACCAGCGCCTGCTCCCGTGTCTCGGGGATGCCGTCCAGGATCCAGCCCTAGACAGAGGAGGTGAAGGGGTGCTGTCTCATCTGTTTTTAGATTTTTAAAAATTATTTTTAAAAGAACATAATAACTTTATGGAAGAACTGGAGCTTTTCAGACAAGGAAGTGAATGTCTCTGATAACAGCATCGCCTTCCTCCACAACTCCTCTCTTCCCCACAAATCCACGTTTATGGTCATCATCAGAATGTGTGCCCCCGCCTTTTTTTTTTTTCAATGCTGGGGATCCCACCCAAGGCTCATTCACACTGGCAAGTGCTCTGCCTCTGAGCGCATCCCCAGCCCAACATGCACTTCTCGTCCTGATTCTTTCCACCACGTGTCAAAGCGACCATGAGCGTTTTCCACATTGCAGCGGGTCTCCATTGCCTCCATATTCAGTGGCTAAACAATGTCCATCAAGTGGGTGTGCTGCAGCTACCTAGCCACGCCCCAGCTGGACAGGTCAGCTGCAGTGTCCACTAGCGTAAGTCACACTGTGATAGGCCTCTTGTGTGCACACAGCTCTTCTCACACTTCTGATTCTTTCCTACAGAGTTTCAGAACATGCAGAAAAGCCGAAGTAGCACTGCAAGTCTCCAGGAACACCGGGCACCTAAAGGCACCACTGAGACACTTGGGCTTATCTCCTTTTCCTGAAAAAGGTCCTCTTTTCCTAGGGTGGGAGGGGAAAGAATCACACACATTTTGTGATCTGTTCCTTTCACATGGTAAGAACATGGCAGGAATGTTTTGCATGTCACCAAAGGCTCCTCCCCTGAGGTTTCGGTGGCGGCGTGAGCTGACCTGCTGCATGCTAACTACGCCAATACTGTGCTCGTTGGGTTTGATGCCACTGTTTCATCATTATTAAAAAAACGCTGTTCATATGTTGTCTTGCTGAGAATCAAATATCCTCAAGGTGAATTTCCAGAAGTTGACACCTTCTCTTGTGGCTTTTGACATATTCTGTCATACGACTCCACAAAATTGCCTGGCCAGTTTATAAGTTCAATGGTGGAACCCCTGTTTCCCTGCATATTGCTAATGTTGGGCATTAACTTGAAGGAACTCTGTCCAGCAAAATATGCCACTGCTGCTTTGATTTACATTAGCAAAGTTCAATATTTTTCCATGTTTATTGGCTATTTAGATTTTTTCTTTTCTAAAATGTATATTCATGCTATCAATCCACTTTCCCCTTGGGATTTCATCCTTTTATTTACTTATAAGAGCTCTTTACATATTAAGAATTTTAACCCATTTTGGCAAACACCACCACAAATCCTCTGAGGCCAATGATATCCTCGGGGTTTTCTGTGGTTTGTCTGTAGCCTTTGAATTTTGTGTAAGGTGTTGTTTTAACACACTGGCTTGCAGCCAAGACAATTGCTCCTTTTCTCTTTGGATTCTGGCATTGTGTGGATGTATAAAGAGATCTTCCCACCGCAAAGCTAATATTCGCTTGCATTTAAACCATGTTTTCTTATGTTTTTACTCTTTACACTTAAATATTTAAAAGTGCATGTTTTTTTGTGTGTGAATGGCACAGAGCTGTGACCTGTTTCCTTGTGGCTTGCCAACTATCCTGACCTCATCTGTCAAAAGTCTCTCTGTTCCCCTCCAAAGTCTCTTTTGTCGTAGTCTAAATGCTGATATGACTTTGGCTTTGGCCTCTTTCTGCCTGTAGATGATTAAACTGTTCTTATTTAACCTTTGAAATGATTGTTGTTTTATAATTTATTTTTATGTCTAATAGAATATGCTTCCCTTCCCATTTTTTCAAATATTTTTTCTTCCAGGTAAGCATCAAAAAAATTTGTTTGTCAAGTTCCAAAATGGAAATTCTGGGAGGATTTTTGAATGACATTAAATATGTGGATTAATTCATGAAGAACTGACGTTCTTATAGGATCAAGTCGACGCATTATCTTCCCATTTGCTTAAGCTGTTTTCTATGTCCCTCAGCAATGTTCACATTAAACAATTTCTGAAGGCCTTTCAAGTCCCAGGAGTCTAGAGTTAGACGCACACACTGTTTAATGCTTGGGGCTCGATATCCAGATAAATCAGCAAAGTGAGCTCTCAAAGAGTGAAATATAAGAGCATATCGCTCCAGTCTCAGCTCCGCAGAGTAGGGAGCCCGGCAGGCAGGCGCTGGAGAGGAGGTTTGGGATGCAGGTTCCCCAAGAGAAGCACCTGTCAGAGACACCTCCCTCAGAGCCTGACACCTCAGGATGGGGGCGGGGGTGCCGGGGCAAGTTCAGACTCAAGGTCACTCACACCTCACACCCCAGGACTTAGAGGACACAGGGCAGGTGGGGTGAGAGGTGTCGTCTGGCAAAAACCAGCATAGCGCCCGCATTTCTATTCTACTAGAGCATTTAGGTTCCAACAGCCTCCACTGACTGTTGAATAAGAAAAGTTAAACAAATTCACAGCATCAAGAGCGCTGGGAAAAACAGACAGGTCTTGTTAATTTCTTAACCCATATAGAAAGAAACACACCATCACAAAACCCCTGGTTTCTGGAACTAAAAAAGCAAAGTTGCTTTTTTAACAGCCCTTTCCTTTCAAATCCTTGTCACAGCCACGGCTCAGAGAAAGCAAACTGCCCAGGCGAGCCCCAGGAGCCCACAGTACGCAGTCCCCTGCATCCCCTGCGAGAGCTCCCTGGGTCCTACAAGCCCAACCAGCACTTTCTGAACTACAGCTCAACCCAGACCCTGATTTTCTCTTATGTGGAGGGGAGGAGTTAGCCCTGGGTTGCTTCCCCTAGCTAGAGGACAGCAGGCTGTGTCCAGCACTATTCGGAGCTGGAGGAACCCGGAGCTCTGGCCTTGCTCAGCACCAAGCTTGGCTTTTCATCTTGCATTTCTGAGCAATCTCCGTGAGCACCATGAACTCACAGTGGATGTCGCCTGTGGGCCGGAGCTTTCAGAGCTGTTCAGGAGAGCGGCTCTCACCAAGTCCTCGCTGGAGAAAGAGGGACTTCCAGCCACCAGGAATGTGCTGCCAACTGCAGGGCTCCCGATTTGCCTGGTCCCACGGGCGTCACTGAGTCTCAGACTTGGGGAGGAAGGCGGGGAGCTCTGAAGTGAACCCCGGTCACTGGCTCTCAGGTCGGCTCTTTTTGACTTGGGGAGGTGGCACAGTCCGCCAGGTGCTTGAGGAATGGGGTACCTGGGGACCCGCTGGGGCACACCCCACCCTACTGGACAGACAGCACGGAGACTCTTCTCCCCTGTGCTGGCCCAGGCTGGCCCACTGCAGTCCCCCAGGAGGGACGGAGCCTTGACTGGGGCTCTGTCTCAGGATGCATCCGTCCTGGGGCATCCGTGAGATGGAAGGCCCAGGCGGGGCGCTGGGAAACGGCCTGTCCCGGAGCTTCTGTGTTTAAGGAGGTCTCTTGCCCAGCTGCAAAGCTGACTGCACTTTCAAGGGAAATGGCGATTTTGGCAGAGAACACTTTAATGGCTGCAAATCCTGGCAAGGCGAGAAGCCATCAATCAGTAAACAGCATCCAACGACGGCTATGGTGGGACACCAAGACATTTGAGACGAGCCCGCATTGCTGGGTCTGAGGGTCCGAGGGCCGGAGTGGCTCGATGTGGAGGTATCAGTCAACCCTAATTAGAACACATTATCCATCTTCCTGACACTTCAGTGAGACGTCTGTTCCGCTCCGAGCCGCAGCTCTGTTCGAGCAGGTTAATTGATATTCTGATGCCTTCGCTCACCATACCCCTGCGGCTCGGTTCTGTTTCATCACACATCAAAAAGGCCGTATGCTCAGGGCACTCGCGCACCAGCGCAGAGCTGGAGGTCTGCACAGCTGCAAGGGGTATGGTATCACAGGAGGGACAACACTGAGCAGATGTCACAGATAAAGAAAGAGAGGAAGAAAGAAAAGACGCCAGCCAGCCTAGGGGGCTGGGCAAGGCCCAGCGGAGCACGGCCTGGCGCGGCCCAGGCCACCCTGCTTGGTGGGACACTGGCCTTTTCCGCCCTCCTGACTGTTATTAAAGGCAATTAGCAACTGCACACAAGAAGCCTCCGCTGCCCTCGGGGCCACTGCCTTCTGATGCATCGCCTTCTTCTCCTTCTGTCTCCTACCAATGCCAGAGCACGGGTGCTCCCTGGGGTTGCCCAGCTCCACCAGGGCGAGGCCCCTGGCTCCCACAGAGGCTCCGCAGGCCCTGCCCATCAGAGGCATCCCCTGGAGCTGCAGGCTGAGTCCCCACAGTGCCACGGGGAGGCGACCTGGGGGTGGAGATTGGGTTTCCATCAATCAAAGTCGTTACGCCTGCACCATGGGGCCTTTGTCAAGAAGGATGAGGGTCACTTGAACACAAGCACTGCGGGACCACAGCCACCTGATAACGGAGGCTGCTATGTAACTAACCAGCAGGCCGTGCACACAGAGCGGACACACTGGGCAAAGGAACATTCCCCCAGGTGGGACAGAGCCGGTGGTGCAAGCTTCCATCATGCTACGCAGATGGGGTGAATCCAAAACTTAACAACTGTTTACTTCTGAAATTTTCCACTTAATATTTTGGGGCCACAGCTGGCAAGTAACTGAGGTCTGAGACAAGGAGGGATGGCGGTACCCAACTACCCCAGAACCAGGTACTCTGACTTATCCAAAAACACACCTTAAAAGATCAAGTTCGGGATACTGAGCCGTTCTAGACGACTAGCAAGAATGTTGACCTTCAAGTTTCATCTCAGACAACGTTGGGCACCTGCCGGCGCTCTGCGCTCTAAGTGCACGCTAGGGGCAGGGTGTCTCCTCCTGAACTTGCCCCCGGGGGGCTCTGACTCTTCCACCTGGCGAGTTGGAGCTGGAAGCTGAGGTCCCACCTGATGCTGGGGAGAGTGACACAGCTGGCGGCTCTGAGCCCTGTCCAGTTTCGATCACTTCACCTCTCTAACACTCTGCCGTTCCCTGGACATTAGCGCTTGCCCAAACCTCAGGCTCCACCCCGCATCGCAATCTTCTATTTTCTGCC